TCAGAATTATTTTCATTTATTCATCATTCATACACAGCGTCTACATTTAAACGAAAGTTTTTTATTAAAACAGTTCAAAAGATAGTTGATTAATTCAGAAATCATGGAATATAAAATATAACGAGAAGAAGACTGAGATGAAAAATTGACGTCACGAGGGAGACTCGAACCTTCTGCATTCGAATATCGTGGTTCAGGTCCCGCTTATGACACTAATTTTTCATCTCAGCCTTCTCCACATTGCATTGAAAACTGGTTTAGTTAACTAATAAGAATCAATACAAATAAGTAATCCAGCCTTAATTGTCTGACATAAAGGGATTTTAAAAGTGCAGCTAAGAATATTTAGGTTTTTTAAATATGGCAATGGTCCTTCTAATTTTAAATGTATCTCGTAGGGCCTTCAAATTGGCTACTAATTGTAAAATTTGGCGTAACCAATGTGTATTTAGTAGGATACTAAAAAATTGTTCCAACCATATACGAGAACCTGATTTATCTTGTGAAGATAAAACATTATTTTTCCCCAGATTCTACATAAAATACATGAACGCATTCGCCAAAACGTGACTCCAAGGCGAGAGATAGCGGCAAAAGAAAAAAGTCAAACAAAACGCAAAAGAATGGTGGAATATTAGCCATATGTAAATTGGATGTACTGCAGAAAAATATTACCCCGATAGAATTTTTAATTGAAACTTTCGACCAATTTGGAGGTCCACAGCGGGTCCAATTTTTTGCGAAATTCCGTCAGGTGAAATTAAACCCGATATGGGAATAAAACAGCACATCACTATTGCACGGCCATTACTCGCGATGGTATCTAATTTCAAAGAGATTGTCCAATCGTTGCAATTGCTTCCGCGTAACTTCAAAGGGTTGCTGCAACAGATTATGGTCTATAGGCATTTCGCTTTCACCGGCTCATCCTTCCATGTCTTCATGAAAGCGTGTCGGCGACATGTCTTCGAATTTATTCATACATGTTTTCACAGGGTTTGGGAAGAATCGGCGGTCACGCCGCGGAAATAGTTTTAAACTTTAACTCTAATGGGCAAACGGGAAAGTAACGGCGAAGGACGAGAGGTCCTTTAAAAAAGCGAAGAAATCTGTTTTTCCATCCAGCAATGGGACCCTTTTTCTTGTCGCGAGTTTCACTGGAAATGGAAAAGCCGGAACGAACGGTTTAAGTTCACGCTGCACAGACTACAACCTGTCTGTTCGAAAAGAATGGGAGAGTGAAATTTGACAAGGAAAAAAATCACCGATCAACTTTCTATTCACACAGAAACTTAAAACTGCAGCTCGCATTTTATTACATTTTCTAAACATCTAAAAACCTAACTGGGCAAAATTAAAATGGTACTTTTATTAACTATTAAATCTGCGAAGCGTGTCCCGACTTTAAGGGAGTAGCGACTGTTTTTAGGACAATCAGCTTGTTTTTCTCCTCTTCGGTAGTTAACTCCAATTCTACCTCGATTATTTCAATTCATTTTTTGAGTGGCTAATGATCCATTTTCCACCTATCAAAGGTTTTAAGTCAAGTCATAAAACAGAAAAAGCAAAACTAACTTAAAATTTGTCAGATCAGAAGTAACAAGCAGTCAAAATTAATTTTTTTTTTGTCAAAAAAGCATGACGGCATCCATCTAAATCCATCACAAATTATTATTTGGCGTGTTGTGAGTCTAACATCAGTGCACATTGCTAAAATTTCAATGCCTTAAACAAAAGGCTGACGAAACAAAACCAATACGGAGGAAAAAAGAACAAATAAAGTCTTATTTGAGTTCCTATTAGGACGATTTGTTGAACTTTTTATCACGTCAGAGCATCGGTACGTCGCTGTTTTTCCAGATGCCACCGAATTTCATTATCTCCGTCAAAGGAGACTGATCCCCGGATCGGATCTAAAGCTATCATCATCGGGTTGTTTATTGGCTCGGCCCTTTTATTTGTACTACGCCCCGGAGGGAAGAAGGGCGCGATGCCATTATGAGCAAAGTTCTCCGATCCCGGGCCCCTTTCGAATCCCGGTTACCTTGCACCACCCCCGCCCACCGACGGGAAAAGTTTTCTATCAGACTTATTATCGGGTTCATTTAAATATTTAGGATTGTGGAAATGCCTCGGGAAATATTAACGAAACTTTTTTACGAATCCGCCGTGCGCCCTTTATTAGTAATAAATTCCCACTCCTCATCTCTCGGATTAAATCAAAAGAAATCGGATAAAAGGGTGAAAACGTACCTATTAATATTTCAAAGAAGGAAAACTTCTTGACTTTTCCAGCCCTTGAAGGGCCTGTGTCACTACCAGCCGTTCTTATCTAAATCGACCTCAAGTCAACTATCTTAATTTTGATCTGCCTAACTTTCTGCACGCTCCAGGGTGTCCGTAGCAAGTTTAAGACCACTTTGCATTCTATCACATATGCTCCAACCATCGCAATTTTAATAAAACGCCACAGCAACCAACTTACAAAATGGTTGAACATCCTGCATCCTTCAAGGACTAAAACCCACTTTTAAGACTTCCCTTCTGGCCGAAAAAGTAAGTTTATGACCTAGAAGTAAACTGTGCATCTCATCAGCCTCAATAATCTGTTTTGAATAGTTCGAACCTGCAACTTGAGAAACTCAATTATGAACCTTTCAGCTTAACAAAACGCAAGTCCGTCGTCACAGGCTTTCATGGTTTTCTCTCACAAGACCAGTTATGTTCGCGAGGTGCACTGGTTGTTGAAAACAGGAGGAAAGGCGTGTACAGAAAGAGGAAAAGTATGCTTTCTTATAAAACAAGTTGCTGTTTGCACAGTCTTTGGAATCTTCGAGGGTCATGCTGACCATGGCTACTTGCGCGACTGTCGACTTTGATTGGTTACGGTTTAAAGAATTGAAGTCCACTCGATACATGCTTTCATCTGTCTACTCTCACCTACCACAAGACCAGTGCCGCTGTGTTCGCGAGGTGTATTGGTTGTCGAAAGAAGGAGGAAAGTTATGTACTGGAAGAGGAAGAGTATGCTTTCTTATAAAAAAAATTGCTGTTTGCATAGTCTTTGGGATCTTCGAGTGTCATGCTGACCATGACCACTTGAACGACTGTCGATTTTGATGGGTTGAGATTTAAAGGATTTAAGTCAAGTCGATCACGCGATCATCCAGTCCTTCACGCAATATGACAGACCTACCAGCGATCAGAGATGATCAAACTGAAATTTAACTTGTTTATCGTATAAGTTGCTTTTACTGCAAAAACATTCCTGGCTTCTGGTTTATGTAAAGAGATCTCTTCTTTTTTTGATTTTGTGTTAAAGTCGTTTCTTCCAATTAAACGTCAATGCCATTTACAAATCAAAAGTCATCTGAAGATTCCATCCATGTGCATTGCAAGGTTGTATTCCAAATTCTCAAACCAATTCACGAAAAACAACGGTATATTTTTCGAAAATCCGTTCTTTTTAACGAATCACAACAGTTTTGTGCATCATCAACTAGAAGTTATCGCAAGGGCGAGAGGGCTCAAGTTGAAACTGACGATTCAAGTAGGGAGCCGTAAATCATAAAATGCCCCCTTCAGACGCAGTCGGGAAATTTCACCGGTCTATGAAAAACCTTTCCTTCACGGACGTGGGCCCGTACTGCAACTCCCAGTGGGAAAAACATCAATAAACCCGATGGACCGCTCCCACCCGGGGCATTCCTCGATATTATTAAACCAAAGCCGAAGAGTGCGCACCATCTGCAGGTTATCGCCGGCCCAGGGAGAAGCCTGCAGCCAGTTACAAGAATGCGAATTGCAATTTTATCTTCGTCCAATTCCCCGGTTGGCTGGACTTGTTATTTTCCATCGCGTGACGTATAAAATATATCTGGGCCTAGTTTTTTTTTCTTTGGGATGCGGCCTGTCGTTGGGAAAAAGACGGATTGGTATTAACCACGAAGACGCTCAATCACAATCATTCTTGCCTTCAATCACCTTGCCGAACATCTTTTCATGTCTTTTACTTGCTTACACTCACATAACGGGAAAAACAGATTTTTGTGAAAGGGAGTTTATCATAGAGACATATAGTTTTCCTTTTTTGCCCCTGGAGAAAAACTAGTTTACTTATCATATCATTTCCTATAAAAATTTTAACATCATGTCAGACTTGTTAGTGATAAAATTAAACAGAAATCTCAGTGGCAATATTTCTTTATGTTAAGTGTAGGAAGATGCATGCTGAAGAGGTTAATTAGCCATAGATCAAGCTGAGCTGGAGAAAACCTTCCTTTCTACATGACGAGACTGCTCAGTTTTGAAATAAACTGCCAAAATGTACGTAGGAGTTTAATTTAATGTGAAAGATACATGCCATCCCGCGGATAAAGAAAAACTATCCAGAAACATTCCTTTTTGCGAACAGACTTTAAATTCCATTATACAAACTGCAATGGAATTTCCCTAAGACTGCAATAAATATTTGAAGACGCTATCATCATCTTTATTGTGACTCAATAAATGTCATTAATCATCAGATTAAATGATCTGTCGAAGACGTCATCTCTTGCGTGTTGACTCAAGATTTATAACATTCATGTCCTGTACTACTGACAATAATTTAAAATATATCAATATGAAGAAAATATATTATTTCCACGAACATATATCAGGGATAGATGATGTAAAAAGAATAATGAAGTCATCTGATGTACAGTATTTTGTAAGGATTCTTGTTTAAGAAGTTATGAGGCTCTATAGCGCGAGGAAAAATGTAAACAAATAGTGACATTTCATTTATGACCCAATTGCATGTAAAGTAAAAAAACTGAAATGCGTTTTATGCTCTGAAAGGGATTTGCCTAAGTGGCGGCTAGACCCAGAAGGGGTATTTATGTGTCGAGACGATGCTAGACACTTCCTGCAGTACTTCGGCACGCAAGGTACACGTCAAACGAGCAATATAGGTGCGTGCCCGGGTATAATTTAGGTAAATTTTTGACTCGGCGTACCTCTTTTTCGTGGGTGTAGAATAGGACGGCGAGGTCGAGCCTACGTCTCCTCTGGTCAACCCTGCCTGCGAAAGACGTCACGTGGCCTTCCAGCTCCTGGGCGACCGAGTAGATCTCTTGAGCGTTGCACTCCCCAGTCTGAGCGAGTTCTTCGGCAGCGGACAGCAGCTTTTCAGCGTTACGGTAGGTATTCTGAAACATAAAATGTAACAAATCATTTTAAAATTGTACAAGGAAAGCAAGTCACATAACTTAATATTACATTTAGTTAAGGAGAAATAAATCAGAATCCTTTTTTCCCCAGGATAAACTTGGTGATGAATTGTACGAACATACTAGGAAGCAAGGGTTTGGCATTAATCAATTACTACAATATATTGGCCAATTGTAGTTTTCCTAGTTAAGTTCAATGGATTCCGATCTTTCTTTTAAGAGGTGTCATTTACTGTAATTGATGCTGCAAACGACCACTTTTCCAGTTTACAGGTATGGTCGTGCTTTTATATCAGAGGGTCGGGATGGCCACCAGTTTTTTCACAAACAATATTGGTTAGGTATCTTGTTGATATTCTCACTATATCTCAGTTATTTTATATCATTAAGCGCAAATTTTTGTAAATACACCACGGTTCCTGCCCCACTGCGGTTTTCCGGGCCATATTAGGACTTCCTAGAATTCATTCCAAGATTATATGGGTGGAAGTTTAATTACTCCTCATTGCAAAACCTGCAAATGACCGATTTAGATACCTACCACCCTGAAGATAAACTATAGTACGCACTGCATTCACAATATGCCACATGAGACACAAGAGTTGTCTTTTACCACTGCCAAATGAATGAGAGAAAGTATACTTCTTCTTGAGCCGTCGATTGCATCCAGTTGGTTAGAATTGTTATGATCCGCAAATATCCCAAACCGCAGATATGAATTCCTTTGGCAAGTGTCAATATTCTCAGGACTGAAGGGTGCAGCTGGTAGTGGCCGACATTCCAAGGTCCCCGGATCAGTCTTGACACTGTTCTAGGATGGTCTGTTATGTTTTTTTATACCAGCGAGTTTGACGCAGACGACATAAAATACCACTTGAGCCAGATATATATACAAGACAAATATGTGCGTTTTGCCTCTAGACTCTGTGAGAACTTTCCATCTGGTAAATCTGCTTAAAAATGCGGCGACTACGAGTCCTTCAAGGGCTTTGTACTAGAGAGTTAAGAGATAAAACCTAACTTTTTTCTGTTTGCAAAACTGACTTGTCTTTGATGGGTTAGCTTGACTAAGTCTAGTCGTCAACGGCTTCCGTGTACCTCCCTCACCTACCTCGAGACCAGGGCCGCTGTCCCCGAGGTGTGCTGGCTGCCGAGAGGAGCAAAGGCTGTAAGGGGAAGATTATGCCTTGTGATAGGCTACTATTTGGACACTGTTCTGAACCTTCGAATTTGATGCTAAAAACCATAAAAGACCTCTTGGACACAGGTAGGTATATGAGAAACGTATAAAGGGCGTTTTGTGTTTAGCCAAATGACGTGGAATGTGACAACTGCCAACCTGATAGTCTGCTTTTTAATGCTGCAACTTCGTCTGACATCTGTTCCCTCCATTGCACTCTTTTGTCTAGGTACTTTAACGAATTCTTTACTCCATGGGAAAAGTATAGAGGAAAGAGAAAAGCTAACCTTTTGTTGAATATTCTGTACTGTACCTGAATGAAGGGTTTAGCTTCATAAACTTTCGAAACCAGTGCCGCTATGCCAGTTAGGTGTTCTGTGGTCATCTGGTTGTTGAGAGTCACGAATAAAGACAATATAAAGGAAGAGAATTACGCCCCCTTCCGGCACACTTAATTTTAACGGCTACGATATGGACGTTGACATTCATAGACACGGTAAGGTCACACCTGAAATCACCTTGTCCACCAAAGGGTTAAATTTGGGCCGAGACATTTCGTTACAAAAAAATAGTCATTGCTCTCCTCTTTATTTTCGAATATGACCTGATTTTCTTCCGTTGTACGTTTCATTTAAGATAAAATAGTTCTAGTGACCTGTGCCAATTGCAGTGTCTCCTATTGTTTTGTACGTTAGAATATACTTAATGTGGCAAAAGTAACTGTTAGTTAACTTGTAAGCCGATTGTAGTGTATAAAATCTCTTACCCCATATGAACAACATAAAACAAAAACACGAATTAAGCCGTATAAGCACGTCATTTTTAAATTGTAAAAGCAAGTAGGGTAGACGAACGGCTTAAAGTCGACTCATCAAGTATTGAAAAATATCTTCAGAGAACCAGGCATATTTTCCTCTTTTCGTCCCAACGGCGAGAAAAGTCGGACGGGAGATGTTCAATTTTTAATCAAAATACCGTCGGCATTATTTTTAGATCCAACGAATTCCGCTCTATACTGGAAACCCAATTTGCGACATACGCCATAAAACTGAGATTCCTAACACAAAATCGGAATCGATATCCAATAAAAGGGGATGTGTGAACATCGGCCACACAGAGAAAGCTACAACCGTCTTTCATGATTTCATAATGACAGTAACAATAAAAAAACCTTTCCTTTTTCGTTCCTTCGCAATATGGCCAAATATTAGACAACAATACCATCTCAACGATCGTAAGAATTGTGAGAATGAGAATTCGTTTATTTTTAGTAAATCCTATTTGTTCTGATGTAAGAAAGGACTAGCATCATAAAAATATGAATTTTACCTCAATCCTAAAATAATAAAGTATTATTACTATAAACAAATTTAGTTCTTTTTGAAACTTCCTAAGTAGAAATCTAAATGAGGGCATGTAGTACTTACATTCCCGATCGTCCTGATCCGCCAATCCTCGCTATTTTGGTTTGACATACGTGTTAAAAATAAGGACAGTTGTGATTTCAGTTTAGGGTTTATCGGGGAATTCTAGAAGATTAGATTAACAAACAGAGGATTAGTTTCGATTCCTAATTAATAATAAACGAACAAAGCATTGCTAGACGTATCGAAAAAATTAGGTTATCATAATAATAAAAAAAAAATTATTCTGACAAACCAACTATATGGCTACATGGTTAGAATGTACATATATATTTCTCGAAGTGAACCCTAACTATGAGGTTATTCGGTTATCGATCAACTGAGGTTATTTTCCGGTTTGAGATTAATGGGTTTATGGCTGATTAATTTATTATTTTAAATATATATATATTTTTTTTTTTTTTTTTTAATGATGGCATGGGATTAATTGTAGGACCCCATACCGAATAATCAATCCTAAACAATAATCCAAAATGATGGATAACAGAACATCATAAATTGGTGGATCAGCACTGGGCATGCATTTCTACAGCAACTTGGGACGAGAATTTGCGCTCGCAGGAAGACCAAATATAGTGCCAAAAGCTTCACTGTAAACACATTGTTGGAATCAATAATCCCAACCCGTAGAGTATAATCGAAGTTGGTGGAAAACAGAATAATATCGTAAATTGGTGGACCAGCATAGAGTATGCCTTTTTACAGACTTGGGGCGGGAATATGCGTTCAGAGGAAGGCCAAATCTAGCGCCAAACTCTTGACTGCACAATACATTATTGGACAATAATCCCAACCCAAGAGTATAATCGAGGTTGGGGGATAAGAATAATATCGTAAATTGGTGGATGGGCATAGGGCATGCCTTTCTACAGTGACTTGGGAGGAGAATTTATGTCCAAATATAGCTTGCTAACACATAATAGGATTAATTGAAGGATCACATAACCAATAATCCCAAATATCCTAGGCTATGCCCTATTCCTGGCACATACTGGTAGCAGACCCTGTGGCATTCTGAATTCCTTTTCCTATTGCCACACCTACATATTTTCCTGTCAAATTTCAGGGTGAATCAATTTTTTTTACATTTGGTCATAATTTTGTGAGAATATGGTGTTCTCCTATACCTTACATCCGTGACAGCCATACTTTTGACCAACGTTTTCGTCCTTTTTGTAGCCTACATACTTCTTAATTTAAGGCGTTTTTCACAGTTCTTGGAATGGACTAGTCTTGCGATTCAGAATTCGCGAGTACATTCATTGTTCGGACTCAGCCAAGACATTGACTCCATACCAAAATTCATGTTCCAGTCTGTCTTTTGGGAGAAGATAACGAAGAAACTTCATCTCTCCGGAATTTCTCTAACAATCTTTTGCTTTGAATAGAGCGTAGAATTTAGAATTTTTTCGGCAATGCCTTTATCTGATTTCAAAACCATTTTAACCGAAGTTTCTCCTGGGCTAACATATAAGCTGTCACACTTCGGTTAGAAGATACGCTTATTGATGAATGAGGGCTTGTTCGGAAGCACGTCTACACTGGCTAATGTTGGGCAGCAATGAGTCGGTGAAATATGGGACGATATTTAAAAGACAAGTAGTCTGGGCAGCCCGGGCGCAGGCGATATCCACTCCGTTTACGAAGGATTGTCTTGTAACTGCAATAAGTGCCCCAGCCAATCTCTAAGTTTAAATAAAGACGGTTTTGGGTTAATTAGGGTTAGAAGATTAGATTTGGAAGGAAGAAGATTGAGATTGCTAATTAACAATCCACGAACTAAACACTATCTGACGTATGGCCGAAAATAGAGAGCATCGAGATGGATTCACAATCTCTCTGACCTGAGGGAAAGAGGGTGGTTAATTGAATTAAATCTCCCACCCGTCAAGGGATGATATTACGTTTTTTTTATGCCTCCCCCAATTTAAGAAAGGGGGCGCTATTTCAATTTCTAGGCACGCGACCCTTTGTGCGAATACGGCGCAACCGATCGGGGTTGTCGTCGGACGCTCAAAAGGGTCCATAATTCCAGCAGGCCTTAATGCGCTTTTTACGAGCACATCCATTCCGCACAAGCGGAGAAATAAGAGGGTAATTCCTCGGGGTGATACATTTGGGACTTGTTACTTGGGGAAAACGCGAGCACCGGCATCTCTTCGACCTGTTGGGCGAGATAGGGCGCGGAAAACAATGGAAGCGATGTCCGTTTATTGTCCCATCGGATCTCACCGAGTACTGACGTCAAATACGACATTTACATCGCCGCTTCTATTCACTCGAAATGCCCTTTTAAGTCCTTTATTGACATATTTTAAACAATTGCCCCAAGAGTGTTAAAATATCTTTGACACAACAAGGGTCATATTTTCATA